TTTTATCTTTTAAATTTAAACAAATAATTTAAATAAATAAACAAAACAAACTAATGAACTTTTATTTGGGAATTTTAAAATTAAAAGATAAGTTCATTAATGAAATTTGATATCCATTTATTACTACATTTATTGTAATTATTACATTAAAATATTATTTTGAATTTAATAAAATAAAAAAACTCATAAAATAACATGTGAAAAAAAATTAATTCAAAATAATCATAAAATGACATTTGACAATTTGAATAAGTGTTTGACATTATGGCAAAAAAAAAAAACTTTCATTTATTAGAGTATATGAGAATATACTCCATCAGTTTTAGATGTGTACATTTTTTATAAGATACAACAAAACTTCCATATTACAAATAAAGACAAATGAAAATGTGTAGAATGACCAATTAAGAGTAAATTACAGAAATGGTCCCTATAGTTTGGTCAGATTGACAGTTTTGGTCTCTAAATTTAAAAAATGATAGGTTGCATCCCTGTGGTTTATGAATATTACAGTTTTGGTCATTGTTCATATAAAAAGACTAACTTTCCCTCTCTTTTTCTTTTTCATTTTCTTTTAACAATTTATTACTATTATTATTATTATTATTATTATTATTATTATTATTATTATTATTACTCCATCCGTCTCAAAATTATTGTCCACAGATAAAAAACATACAGATTAATGAAGCATTAATTACCACTAACTTTATACAAGAAAAAACATCATAAATGGTCCCTATGGTTACCCAAAATCTGAAGTTTAGTCCCCGTGGTTTAAAAACCTCATAGATGGTCCCTGTGTTTTCAAAATTTTTGATGTTTGGTCCTTTTTGCTAACTCCGTTAAGTTTGTCCGTTAACTGAAGGGTATTTTCGTCATTTCACTACCACAGGGACCATTTATGATGTTTTCTCATATTTTTTAAAAAAAGAAAAAATTAAACATAATTAAATATATAAAAGGTCTCTCTCTCTCTCCCCCCCCCACACACACACACACACTCTCTCTCTCTCTCTCTCTCGTGTCAGCAACCAACACATATATTGGTTTGTTCTTCAATAATCAAGAACACACATATAAACATACCACCACCACTACCAAGATAAGCGATAAAGTAACCCTCAAGGATCAATCCTATGCCGTCTACAATGCATTGGAAGCCTTCCACCCACCATTTCTCCTACATTGACAAACCCCCAAACCAATGAATTCAGAATCGTTTCTGGAACAATTTTTCTTTTTTGAATCTGAAATCATTTCTGGAAGAGAATTAAATACATCCCAACCCTTCTGCAAACAAACATACAAAGAAACCAGAAAAATAAAACCCAACACTATTTTCTCCCTTCTTCTTGTTTTTGTTCTTATTTATACACCAAATACCCACCTGCATCAAACAATTCACACATCAGGAGGGGCTGTTTTGGGACAAGATCCAGAATAATCCTAGATTTCGTGTGTGGCTTTTGTTTCTGGAATGATTTGGAACCAAAAAAAACAAATGAAGCTCTAATAGATACCCAGATGTGGAGTGGTTTTCACCCGATAGATACCCAAATGTGGAGTGGTTTTCACCCGATAGGGGTTGGGAGAAAGAAGACACATAGAGATGCAAACCTAAATGGGTTATTGTTGGTTGCACATACTAGAAAACTTGGTCCATGTGTGTCTGTAAAAAGGTCAACAAAACTGAATTCAGATGAACTGATCTGAGAAGGAGGAATTAAAGGGTGTATAACTGATGTGGATCAAGTTGGTGGGTGCAAGAACGACTTCTGCATTACCTAGATGAAAGGGTTGACGACTGCAAGTC